CAACCTAATCACTATCCGCAAAAACCAAAAACTCTAGCAAACGACAGAGCACATCACTCACTGTTGAGTTTGCGACGAAACAGAGAGCCCAACGACGTCACAACAGGGCGGGAGAACAGAAGACTGAGTAGAAGACAAGCAGCAGAACTGAGGAAAGGAGAAGCCAAAGCTTCCCTTCCCTGGCGGAGCAAGAAGCTTCGCCGAGCAACCACCTGAGGAGATCCGCCGCACGCCAACAGGAAAGAGAAAGGGGAAACGAAGAACCACCAAATCTCTGACCACTCGTCGGATTAGACCCTAACCGCCACCTGACCGAAGCCAAGTAGCCACGCCTCCGAACCGGAGCGAAAAGAACACGCCAATAACCACCGTGGGGAGACTTTTCTCAAAACCTAGCCGCTGTCCTCGAGCAAACTGAGGGAGAGAGATGCCACTGGAAAGATGGAGACGCCGTGTTCACCGAGAGGATCCGCGACGAGCCGACGCCATCTCAGCCGCAGGTAGAACCACCGCAATCCTAGCCACACAACTCAGTCTTCTAATCTCGTCAAATCGCCGATGAGAGAACGCCCGATTAGCACGCAGGAGGCAGAAGGGGGCCTCTCACAGCCATGGCGAGGAGCGCCGTTGGCCGGAGAGGCAAAACGCGGCGGAGAGTATAAGTCGCTCTTGTCGCTAGGGTTGAGAGAAAATTTGGGGGCGCCAATCTTATCAATTGTTTTTTCTTCAAAACAATTGATGAGTATTTTGGTTCTAGGGTTGTGTGAATCATCATCAACAGACGATTTACCACCAGCCGCCATGGAAGATTCACAACCTTCTCGTTCAAGTTACCTAGATCACGCCGGAAACTTCACACCAAACATTCCTCTTGATCTAACCATCGAGATACTCGCTAGACTTCCGGAGAATTCCATCATCCGATTCCAATACGTGTCAAAGCTCTGGTTCTCAATCATTCGCACTAAAGATTTCACCGACTCGTTCCTGACTAGGTCAAAGACTCGTCCTCGTCTCCTTTTCACCTTCAAACACTTCGATTCCCGAAAACGTTTCTTCTTCTCAGCTCCTGAACCCGACAATGACAACGACGACAAAGCCTCCTCATTCGTCGCCAGACACGACATGACGATCTCGGATCTCGTCTACTACATCAGATGTCGTCCCGTGAACGGTTTCGTCTGCTGCACACGTGGCTCTTCGATCGCGGTTTGTAACCCCACCACTAGACAAATAGTGAAACTGCCAGATGTTGTATCCAACAAAAGAAACGTATACGCACGTCTGGGGTACGATCCGGTGGAAGACCAATACAAAGTGTTGTGTGTGATGATGTTCCGTGGTTGCAACGCTAACCAACGAGATATCCAACAGGAGCATTACGTTTTCACGTTAAGCTCTCAACAAAAAGAGTGGAGAAAGATTGAAATAACCCAAGGTGTTACTTATAACATGGTACGTGAGGGAATATGCATCGATGGTGCTATATACTATTGTGATGGACGCACAGGAATAGTTAGATTCGATGTTAGATCTGAGAAGCTGGAGCTAATTCAAACACCAAAAAGATCAGATATAGCGCACTTTTCCGCTCTCATAAATTACAATGGCAAATTGGGCGGTGCAGAATATGAATGCGCTGGAGAGATAGTATTATGGATTCTAGAGGATGCTGAGAAACATAAGTGGTCGGAAATGGCGTGTCCCCTAGCTTTTGAGTGGAGTGATTTACTTGGGGATCACGTAACGTCCAATGGGGAGATTCATACCGGTGAGCTTATGGTGTTTAATCCAGGGTTAAGGTCATCTAAGCCGTTTAGTGTTTGCTATTACGATTTTAATAGAGAGGGTATAAGAAAAGTGGAAGTTGAAGGAATTGCTGATGATGAATTTAGACGTGTTCATGGGATTGGTAAACGAACTCGTGAGATGTTGTGTTTTCCAGGTTACGTTGAGAATATTAGGTTCTTGTGAATGACGAGTATTCGTCGTTGCATTAGCTTCTTCCATCTATACTATTAATTGGGAAGCATTTTGTGAACTACAACATTGTGAGGGTAGTTTAAGACTAACTAAATGAATTTTTACATGGGTAATTTAGTAAATAAACAACTACTACAACTAAATAAATATATTTGATTCGGATCCTTCATTAATTTTTTGCAAAAACAAATAACGAGATTAAATGATCCAATATATTCCGAGATTTGCTTCGTCAATATTTTTGGTATGATTTGTCTACAAAAACAAAAAAAGAAACAACATTAAATATTAAAGAATAACTGAATATTCAACATCAATATATTTATTTCGAATATAAATCGAAATATTTTGTATTTTTCAATTTGTTAGAGATAAAACAAAAAAATTCAACATAAATCGAATGTCATTAATTGAAAAATACAAAATATTTTAAAAATAAAATCTAAACTAAATTATTAGCAACTAAACTAAATTAATAATAGAAATAATATGTTTCTAAATAAAATTAAATATTTGCAGGTTGGTAAATACTAAAATTATAAATATTTATCAACGATATTATCAATTTTGCAACGAGAAATATTTATCAACGATGTTACCAATCTATAAAAGTTTATGATATTAATAGTGTAGATTTATACTATTAATTGGGAAGCATTGGATAAAATATAACCTTATAAAAGGTAAATAATTACAAAGAATGCCATTGATATTTTTTAATTTGAAGAAGGAAAATTAATAAACCGAAACGGGTAATTGTGTATATTTAATTCGAAATTGCATATATGTAAACTAAATTATTTTCGTAAGATATTATTAGATATTTTCGAAAATGGCAATCTAATCTAATAACATATTATCTTTTCGTTTAGATTTTTAAAAATTTCCTTAACAATACTATGCTAATTAATTCTGATTGGTACACATGGAAAAAAGATTTTTCAATTTTGATTTTCCAAATATGAAAAAACATTTATTATATTTGTCGTATATAATCTAAACAAAATACTTCCATCTTTTAAAATACACCTTATTCAAAAACTAATTTTTTGGATTCTAAATTTGTTAATATCTAGAAAATATTTCCAAGATAGATTAAAATATTTAACATTTAATTAGAGTTTAAATGATATAAAATTTTAGAATATATATATTTTTTAAATGGGTAGTTTTCATTATTATAAATATATAAAACTAACCTAAATTTTTAATATATTTTAAAAACGTACTATAATAGTTACTATATCTCCAAATAAATTATTCAATTTCAAATCAAATAAATTATTTTATTTTGTATCAAATTGTTACAAGATTTTGGAATACACATTCTTCTAGAATTGATTATTTTCTTTTTCAAATAACATTAAAATAAATTTAAATACAAATGTTTAATTTTTAATGCAAATATTTCAAAATGAGAAATATTAAATTTAAGGAACTATTGAATTTAAATCAGGATGACTAATTTAACTAATTACAAGCTACTTTTTAATTTACACAGTTTTTACAATTAATTCAAAATGATTCTCAAAATTTATTCACATTAAACTTTCTCTTAGTTTTATGATTTTGTTAAGATTAGTTGATAGATCATTTGTTTTTTCAATTTGATTTCATGTTTTAATTTACGGTATGTTTACAAATTTTAACAGAACATATGTTAATCCCCAAAACTTACAACCGTATATTGTATGGTGTTTAAAGATAAGCAAAAATGAACTCGGAAAATGATATGTAATGTAATATAACGAGAATAGGAATTACGAAACATGAACGACATTGAAGGAGACAGGACGGGATAAAAACATAGATTTTAGACTAGAACAAGTTACAATTAAAAAAAATTAACGTTTGCAATCAAATATGTAACATGTGTTTTCAATTTTTATAGCATAAAAATGTTCAAAATAATAAACGTTATTATAGTATGTTCTATAATAGTTAAAATTTAAAAAACAAACAAATGTAATTTAATATTTATGAACAAAATATAAAAAAATAAGAATAAAGAAGTCAATTAATTTTGTAATATTTTTATTATATCATCATATAAAAATATACAATGAATTATATTTGTGTTTGTCCCAAACAAGATATCGAGAATTTTTGTTTCCGTCACGTCATGTTTCTAATCGTGAATACAAAATTTGTCTTATATTAGAAATGCATTCTCTTATGAGATATAAATTGGAGAACGGGTAAGATATAATGGAACATGATAAAATTGAATGGGAATTACGCATATCTCTAAATATTTCTATTTCTCGCAAACGTATTTAATCATTTTAACGGTTTTATCAACGGTTTGATAGTTTACAAGTTTAATGTTCACAGGTTTAATAAAAATCTGCCTGACCATTAATTCGATTCAGTTTGATCTTGGTCCGACCGTTTGATTGTTACGAATTTTAAAATACTATTAAAATCATTATTATTTCAAATATTTCAACCAACTAATATGAGTTTAGGTTATAGATATTATAACTATATAATATTTTTTTTACATCAATCTAACTTATATTATATTTCAATCTAAGATTTTTTTCTAATCTACTCTTCAGTTTCAAACTCCAAAAAATGACTTATGGTTGCTATTGTGTCATAAGCAAACATAAATAACATTTTATACTTTTTTGTGTACATTATAATTTATTCCATACAATATATATCACTAAAACAACAAAATAATCATATATTTAATAAAAAATTATTACAACATATTTCTTAAAATATGAAATCCCGCACGTATGTGCGGGTCAGGATCTAGTTCAATTTGAAAATGCAAATTGGATACAATTTTTTTTTAGAGCATTCGTTAATTTAAGGTTTGTGTTTACATTTACGTATTATCAAACAATTTGTGAGATAGCTAGAACTAATAATCACATTGGAAACCGCATATAAGCTCATGCTTGTCCAGCTTCTAGTCTGGACCTGCTCCGGTTTTGTTGCTACAGCTACAAAACTCAATTTGGGCCCGGCTATAAACTTCATTTGTCTAAATGAATCTTTTCAACCAATACCATGTCGCCACTTGTTAAGCTTTCAGTATACACAACCGTACCTGATTATTTTCTCCCTCCTTGGTCGTCTCCCATTACGGCAAGACAAGAGTGTGTTCAAAACCCTTAAAACCTCCACCAACTGATCAAAACGCATACATAACTCCGTCATCTTCTTCGTCTTTACTCCAAAATTCCAGACATTTGAATTTTGAAGCATTTACGCATCTGGGTGTTTGATCTTTCATTCACAGATCACATAAACTCGATAATCTTGGAAGAGGCAAATGTCTATATCCCTTAAAATTTCCCACATTTCAACATTTTCCAACGATGGGTTTAATAGCATAGAGCTGCGAAAGCAATGCAGAGCCGGTCAAAGGTTTGAAATTGGGTCGATTTGTTTCCGTAGAAGTCCTGGATTTGAATCTAGACGGATCCATTTGAACTCGGACTTGTCTTGTCGGAATTTGAGAAACCGATGTGTGGGATCGGATGTGGTTGCGGGTGAAATTTCCGGTAGATCGGTACCGGATTGGGCTTATAGCGGTTTAAAGGATGAGACTTTAAGCGATTTGGAGCCGGAACTTGATGATGGTGATGGCGGCGATGAGAATGGGAACAACGACGGTGGTGGAAATGGTGGTAATGGAGGCGGAGGAGGAGGAGGAGAAGGAGAAGGAGATGATGGAGAGGATGAAGCAGATAAAGCTGAGGAGAAGGAGTTTGGTCCGATATTGAAGTTTGAAGAAGTTATGAAAGAGACAGAACGTAGAGGGATTACGTTACCGGAGGATATGTTGGAGGCTGCCAAATCCGTGGGGCTTCGGAAACTGTTCCTTCTTCGTTACCTCGATCTACAGGTTTTTGCTTTTGGGAAAATGTGGGAATGATTCTGGTTTTTTATTGTTTTAGTATGATGATGATTCATGTTTGAGGGTGACAATGTTTGCAGGGTTCTGTTTGGCCGCTTGGGTTTCTTATGAGATCATGCGCGATGCTTCGAAATAGAATGCTTGCAGATCCTTCATTTCTTTTCAAAGTCGGAACCGAGGTTTGTCAATGAATAAGCTAATGTTGTTCTTGGACTACTTATTTAGGATTGTATGTCCAAGAATTGAATGTGGATAATCTTGTTCTACGGATTTAATGCAGATAGCCATAGACTCTTGCTGTGCAACTTTTGCAGAAGTACAGAAGAGAGGGGAAGATTTCTGGTCAGAGTTTGAGTTGTATGCGGCTGATCTTTTAGTTGGTCTTGTAGTTGATGTTGCTTTGGTTGGACTTTTAGCTCCCTATGCACGTATCGGGAAGCCATCCGTGGCATCAACAGGTTTATTTAAGGACCTTAAACGTGCTTGTGCATCCCTTCCTAGCAGGTAAGACTGTCACTGTCTCTCTCTCGTTTTTTCACTTTTGGCTCCAAGTAATGTACAAATCGGTTAAAGGTTACCACTGATATCTATCGAGCTGGTGGCTGTGTATTTGGGATGAGATGTACGTACTTATACTGGCTTATTTTTTTGTACTTATGAAGTGTTTTTGAAGCTGAAAGACCGGGTTGTAAATTCTCAGTTAACCAGCGCATTGCAACTTTCTTCTACAAGGTTTGGAGAAGGACTATTGCTTTAATGTTCTTTGTGGGTTTTCCTTACCTTTGGTTTAGTTAATCGATGTGATTATTCATCCAGGGCCTCTTGTATGGGTCAGTTGGATTCTGCTGTGGACTCATTGGTCAAGGAATTGCAAATCTGATCATGACGGCAAAACGGTATTCTTTCACCACCGACTTTATCTTGCTACTTGCCAATGATGAAATGAACTTTCTGAGGTCCTCTGTGGTTTTATATGTTGTGATCTAGACACTTGACTGTCTAAAAAACTGTTCTTCACTGAAATTTGGGGTTTCCTATGTCAATAGGAGTGTGAAGAAATCAGAGGAAGACGTCCCTATTCCACCACTTTTCGAAAGCGCTGCGCTCTGGGGTAAGCTTTACTTTTGATCTCTAACTTTGTTCTGCTGAGTCGTCGAAGCTTATTACCTCGGATGTTGAATGAAAACGACAGTCTTGATTCTTGAACCTTCATTATCCTGTTGTCTACTCTTTTTCCGAGTTCTTGTTATCAGCCATCGCCCATCGGTTTTCTTAGAAAGTAAAGAACCTGAGTTGCCAATGATACCAAGAATCGATTATGCTTACAATTCACGGTGAAGGTGTTAGCTAGGTTGTTCCTGTTGTTTACAATATTAGATTCATGGAGAGGATAATTTAATTGCAGAGCTCAGAGACAAGCCTGAGGTTTTACTCTATGACTTGTTGATTACATAGACTCACTCTTTTTTTTCCTTCTGTATTGTGCTTTTGTTCAGGTGTGTTCCTCGGCATATCTTCCAATGCGCGTTACCAAATCATCAACGGCCTCGAACGCGTCGTAGAAGGTTCAACAGCGGCCAAACGCATTCCTGTGGTCGCCATGGCATTCACGGTGGGAGTCCGGTTTGCAAACAATGTGTATGGCGGTATGCAATTTGTGGATTGGGCTAAATTATCCGGCGTTCAGTAATAACCGGTTCGGTTTTGTTGCGAACCGGATAGTAAACCAGCCTAGATGTCTCCTCAGGATGTTAGTTATCTGAGTATCATTAGTGTGACTAGGTCATTTACCGAGAGCTAGAGAAAAAGAATGTGGTTCATGAATCATGATCTGGACCGGATTCTTCTAACCGGAATACTCGATACAACATGTTTGATTTGGTTTTCGAAGTTGAGTTTTGTCATGGAGTCTCCTTGTTCTCTTATTCATTTTTCAGAATCGTATGCTTTTTATGCAATAACGACTTAAAACAGTTTATGTGGCGAATTATGTCAACAAAACGTCATTTTTGGCCTTTTTGACGTTTGCGTGGATCGATTGATATATGGAAAAATGTGGGTCAGTGACAATTTACCTTTTTTTCCTCGTTAGAAAGGAGAATTGTTGGTAGGTGGAGATATGTAGAGATTAATAAAGAAAAATATTTAAAGCAACCAATGAGTAGAGTATAGAAACAATAAAATTCTTTCGATATTCTTTTGCAAGAAAAACGAAGAAATCAAATTATATATTCTTAGGATAGTTTGATGGGAAGCATCATTTGATAGATGGAGGATCTTCCGAGTGACAGCTTAGTAACCACTGTCATCCAACTGCTACATGATCCTCATCTTTTGTTCTCTTGTTTCTGTTTGGTGCCCCTTAATGATATTTTATTTATACTCTCTTACTTAATTTTGATCATTTAGATGCCTCGTAAATTAGTTACCAAATGGTAATCCTTGACCGACAACTAACAAAGAGAACATTTTCCTCACAATTTGAAGGTGAATCATCTCATTAACCATTCTAATTACATTCGAACCATAACTTTTTTTTTTGGCAATTTTTTTTTTTTTTTGGCAATACATTCGAACCATAACTTGACTTAAATTTTCTTCGAACTACGAACTAGGATTTTTAACTAACGTTTTGGTCTGAAGATGTTTAACTAAGAAATCTTTTAATTACTCGTTTTTTCATATTTCTCCAACTTGTAATTTCAAACAAGATGTTTAGATCGATCTTCCAAAACTTTGTTTTCTAAAAAAGTAAAAATTTATTTTGGACGAGTCAATTTCGGATTTTCCAAATTCACATGCATTCAAAAATCAAAACAGACGAAAACTGAATTACACAAAATTGAATAGTCAAGAGTTGTAAATAATAAAAGTCGTCTCTCGTCTCTCGTCTCTCTCTTCTCCAAAGATCACTCTCTCCTTTTGAATTTCTTCGATTGTTTGGTGCCATTTTCCGTTTCTAGATTAGGGTTTCGATCTCGAATTGCTTATTTTTCAGCTGTATTCTGCGGTTTATTTCCTAGTTAGATCCGGTTTTGCCAGTTTGGATCTGCGCCGTGTGAGGCGGCGGAGGACGGTGGATCTGAGGATTTGGTTCCACCATGACCGGAATGAGAGGTCTCTCCGTATTTATCAGCGACGTTCGTAATTGCCAGAACAAGGAAGCGGAGAGACTCCGAGTTGATAAGGAGCTTGGAAACATACGTACATGCTTCAAGAATGAGAAGGTTAGAGACTTCTCTACGGACATTTTGTTATCTTCGTTTTTGTTTTTATATCTTTGATTCTCAATTGAGTGGTAATTCAGTGAAAAAGTAGTATCTGCTGAGGTTCAGTATTGATTAGAGATATTGGAGATTTCTCCTTTGAAGCTACCTATTCCTCTGAGGTCGATAAGGGAGTTAGATAAGAGTGTAGTTGAAACAAAGATGTAGTCACTGGCGGAATCGTTTATCGGGAAAACCATTGTTGCCGAATCATTTGTAGTTGCCGAGGGGATAGTTTTGGAGCCTGTAGTTTCTTATCTTATCGGATTGAGGCTATATTTTTTTTATTCAACACAAATTGGATAGCTAGCTTATATCTTTGGAGATTAGCCATTATTCTACCCATTGAAACATCAATACCACTGCTTTCATCTTGGAATGTCATTACTTTGTGTATTTCAAGTCGATATATAAGACACTGAGTATATGAGGATATTAGGAATTAGAAGAAAAGAATGGCGGGGCAGTAAATTTGGTTATGTAGTGATGGTCTAAGGAAAGAAATCAAGGTCGGGGGAAAATTTGGACCGCTCATTACGAAGTAGATTAAGCTTTGTTGTTTTATGTTTCACAGGTTTTGACACCATATAAAAAGAAGAAATATGTCTGGAAAATGCTTTATATACATATGCTAGGCTACGATGTGGATTTTGGCCATATGGAGGCGGTTTCTCTTATATCTGCGCCAAAGTATCCAGAAAAGCAGGTAAGCCAACGTTTTGTTTGCTCAAGCAAAGAAAATTTTCTTTCTAAGGCTAGGAGAAGTTAATAGACGGGGGTGTTTACTGAAATCTATTCTAGTGCTCAAACTAAAACAAAGAAAGTTTCACTGAAGATCACGGAAAGTTAGATCTAGATACTATTTCACGCGTTTGCAACTCATTCAGTTTGGCTTGACCTGGTAAAGTATTGCAGACATTTACTTAGTAACATCTTAGAAACTCTTAACCAGGAACCATGCTTTGTATCCCAACTCCCAATGGTTTGTAGTTGCAGTGTGTATTATTTTATGCTCACTACCTAATTTGCAGGTATTGAACTTTTCATCCATGATCACAGGTTGGCTACATTGTTACATCTTGCTTGCTCAATGAGAACCATGACTTTTTGAAGTTGGCAATAAATACAGTGCGGAACGATATTATTGGTCGGAATGAGACTTTCCAATGCCTAGCACTGACCTTGGTATGTGGTCTTTTGTCCATGCTGTATTGAGATTTTAGAGCATAGTGAGATTCTTCTGATTATGAGATGCTGTTAAATGACTGTTTTAGTGGAAGTCTTTGGATACATTATGTCTTTTGTGCTCTATCATTGCACGATTCAAAGCCACTTACTTTATTAAACTGGTCCTTTTTTTCTAGCTCTCTTACCTTGCCATGCTTACTTTGTCCCGTAGGTTGGAAATATTGGTGGAAGAGATTTTGCTGAATCATTGGCACCTGATGTTCAAAAGCTACTTGTAAGTGACTCCCAAAGACGACAAGTTTATGTTTTTTTCCAATATAAGTAAGTAAACATATAAATTTTTTGAGGCTTGTTCGCTGCAGATTTCTAGTAGTTGCAGACCTCTCGTAAGGAAAAAAGCGGCACTGTGCCTACTGCGCTTATTCCGAAAAAATCCGGATGCCGTCAACGTTGATGGCTGGTGTGTGTGAACGCTCTTGGATTACTGGTTGTTTGAGTTTACTTCTGCATCTTTCATATTCTCTTTGTCGTATACTTCCAGGGCGGATCGTATGGCACAACTTTTGGATGAACGAGATCTTGGTGTCTTGACGTCTTCTACGAGTCTTCTTGTAGCTCTGGTATCTAATAATCATGAGGCGTACTCAAGTTGTCTACCTAAATGTGTCAAAATATTAGAACGCCTTGCTAGGAACCAGGATGTTCCTCAGGAGTACACATACTATGGCATCCCATCTCCTTGGCTCCAGGTTTGTCTTAACTCGGTTAATACCTTCAATAATTTTTAATCACATCCTTTTCCCAATCCCATGCATTTTAAACATTTATGTGAAATTAGCTTATGAAAATAGAGCCTTGCCCCAGCTTGGATACTTATATATCGTTGGTTAGTACAGGTTAAGGCAATGAGGGCTCTTCAATATTTTCCAACCATTGAAGATCCCAGTACCAGAAAAGCTCTCTTTGAGGTACAAATTTTCTTGTGTAAATATCTAATATATGTCTTTGAAATCTCTCTCATGGCAATTCATGGAAATTTCAGGTCCTTCAGCGAATATTGATGGGGACAGATGTTGTGAAAAATGTGAATAAAAACAATGCGTCTCATGCTGTGCTGTTTGAAGCTCTATCCCTGGTAAGTTTGTCAGGCAGCTGGAAAATGTTGATACGTCTCATAAATAGCGTCAATTTTTTGAGGTTCAATTGTTGATTATACACTCAAGTCAACTACCTGTCCATGAAATGCCATGAGAGAGAATTCGAAGACATATATCAGAGATTTACATAAGAAATATTGAACCTCAAAGAAAGCCTTTCTTCGCGATGATTAGATTGATGAGCACACTCAAGTAAACTATCTGGCTTAGTGTGCAACCCCTAACTTGTTAATGTGTTTTGAAATAGGTCATGCATCTTGATGCTGAGAAGGAAATGATGTCACAGTGTGTTGCTCTTCTTGGCAAGTTTATTTCTGTCCGTGAGCCCAACATCAGATATCTGGGCTTGGTGAGATCTTGCATACCCACTTCCTGCATCTAACCCTAGCGAGAACAGTAATTTGTTAAGTGTTTGGCTTCTCATACTGCATTTGTTGACAATATTGCAGGAAAATATGACACGAATGCTGATGGTCACAGATGTTCAAGATATCATAAAGAAGCATCAGTCTCAGATAATCACCTCCTTGAAAGACCCTGACATCAGGTTGGTTTAGATTTGCCATCTCAGCATCAGCTTCTATGGCTTGTGAACCCGGATCAGTATCTCTTTACTGCTCTAGTTTGGAACCAGTACGACAAATTTTTCAATCATGAAATCGGTCTAGTTCTTATAGTTCAATATACCTTACTTTACTTTTTTTATTATCATTTCAGTAAGCATTGAAATTATTTGATTTGGTGTATATATGAAACTCTAAGAAAATGGAATCTGCATCTATACATAGTTTTTTAGTGAAAACATTGTTTATCACATTATTTGTTGATAAACAATTATCAATTATGGGTATAATAATCTGTGGTAGCAATTTGTATCGGTCACATAAGAACTATTATATTATTGGCCGGTGGCTCAGTACTATAAAAAGATAACTAGATTGGATGAGTACTAGTCCATTAGGTCTTAATCCTATTTCCGTTGCAAATGGTGGCATCTGTTTCAAAAACATATAGTTTGATTGATATTCGTTTTGGTTCATTTGCTAATGGTATCAGATTCACTTTTGGTTGAACTTTCCTGCAGTATTCGTAGACGTGCTCTTGATTTATTATATGGGATGTGCGATGTGTCAAATGCAAAGGATATAGTCGAAGAGTTGTTGCAGGTAAATCTTTGACCTTGCTTTATATTAATATTTTCTTGATTTGTAGTCTCCTTATGATTTGTGAAGTTTAACAGAAAGGAAGGATTAAGTTGTATAGTGTTTAAGCTTACTTGGAACCCAAAAATACATTTCAGTATCTTAGCACAGCGGAATTTTCCATGCGGGAGGAATTATCACTGAAAGCTGCAATTCTTGCTGA